GCGCCACACCTCCTCCCCACCTCACGCTCGCCGCTGCCAGATCCGCCCGCCCGCATCCACGCTCCACACGCCACACCTCCTCCCCGCCTCACGCTCACCGCCCACCCAAATCCATGATCGGCACAGGGACACGGGGAGAAGAAGTAGGGAGGAGCAGGTGTGGGCGGATGACAGCCGCCGATAGACAGACCCGATCTCAGATCTCAGAAACAAGTTGCTGGAAGAACGGTTAGGTAAGCGTGCCATTGCTGGGTGTTGTAGTCCTCTATAGCCGGTGCCGTTCTGCATTCATTGCTGTATAAGTTTACACATTTCATTTCACTATATTGCACACCACACTTTTTGTTTTTCTTTTTTTCTTCCACCGCTCAAAGTTTGCTCCTGTGATGGACTACAATCTCAATACAAACTAGTAGTCCATCACTGGAGCCATTTTTAAAATGTATTTTATTTTTTTATCCGATTAATCGAACTTAATAATCGGCTAACTAATCGATTTTTAAAATAATCGTTAGCTGCAGCTCTAATATAGATTATGGAATTGGGCCCTTCTTTTTGGAAAGGGTTGTGTTCCCCATGGTCAGGACCTGGATCATCCCCTCGAGGCTCTAGCCTGTTGGGTAGCTTGGGGCAGCTTTGGGTGAACACTCCTCCTATTGATGTATTACCTTACCCCAATCTTGAATATTACATGTTTTGCTGAACAGTTCCCATCATCCCCTCTTTATGACATGACCAAGCTGCATGCCCTTGTCTTCATATCCCTGTACTTTGTGTTATTCTGCACTTCTTTTTGTGTTGTTATCCTTAAAACCAATCAAACTTTTGTAAAACAAAATGAAATGATTGTATATGAGCAGCAGGAACCTCGTCCACATAAGCACTCAGGATAAGGTGGGAGATGGGCCAAAGCTCTTAGGAGAAGATTCAGTAACAAAGCGGTGAGCCTCCTGCCCAATTCGGGAGCACTGGCACATCTACGTTATTAGACTCTGTGCCCAGGGACCATAATCCCTAGACACCACTGTACAGAATAAAAAAAGAGAAGCAGTTTACAAGAGAGCTTTCTCGCAGCGCATGCGGTTATTCATCTAGCACTGAAAGAGCTGAACAAATATTGTAAATCTGGTGTGTGAGTGCCACGTGCCACCTAATCCCGACAGCAGGGGGCATGAGCCGCAGAATGAAGTGGTGCTGGGTGCGTGCCAACTTGAAGGGAAATAGCCTTACGGATCTTCTCCAACAGCTAGGGAGAGCATTCGTGATAATCCCCGTCTGAGTTCTGCTGTTCCCACACATTAGACTGGGAGGTCTCATGCTGTCCGAAGTGTCTGAAAGAAACGCACAGCAAACAAATGTTCCTTTTTATGTCTCTATTAAAAAAAAGTCAATTTGATTGGTTGGTAGACAGCAACGATATTTCTTCAGACATTTCCAAGCTCAAGACTAAAGGTGTACCCCATGCAAGCAGCCACACCATTGAAATACACATACTGAATCTAATTTAAATGCCAAAGCATTTGCATTTCTGTCAAGCCAGTTTTGAGATGTATATAGCACAGCTAGCCTGATGACCTGAGTTTTCTCTACTACAGTTAAGCAAAATAGACTGGTCACCTTCCTGCCCTCAACCTGTGATTGGAAAGTGAATATGCAGCAATGGACTGATGAGATCATCTCTCTGTTTTCTCCTTTTGTCATCATGTTCCTTGTCAGCACATGTGCATGCAGGACACCTGTTTGGCCCCAAGTCTGGGCCCTCCCTCTGCCAGCTACTGCTGTATATAGGAATACTAAAATTAAGTCAAATTCTAGTATCTACACTAGCTGCATTTAAAAATACATTAGTTGGTGTTTGGAATGTCGCTTTTACATAGAGGAAACAAAGGGGAACTCAAGTTATTTAAAAAATTAACCCTTGCAGTCGCACAACCCCTGTAGTGCAAGAGTTAACTTTTAGTTTTGGTCTAGGGGTCAGAATACAGAAGATGTGCTCACCCGATCCTCAGTCCGGCAAAATTCAGCACTCACTTCTCTCCCCCTCCAGTCCAGCTGTGGAAAGTCAATGGACCTGCATTAGGTGATGATGTCAGTGGGGCATAGACCATCAAAGTCCAGGGGAGAAGAGGTTGTGGGGACCGGACTAGCAGCCAGGCATGGATCAAGGATCAGGTAGGTATATCTGCTTTATTTCACCCCCTAGAACAAAAAGCGCACTTAACCCTTGAGGTGCGGAGGTAGCTCCACTGCAAGGGTTCATTTTTTAGATTCCTGGAGTTACTATTTAAGCAAAGCAGACTTGGTGGCAGGGAGCAGACCACCCAGCTGCAGATGGGAAGAAACCCGAAAATATTGTCGGGATCCATCTGGCTGTCTGATTGACAGCTGGCTCGGCCTTTCTGGAGCCAGAACCAGCTGTGCCCGCCCCTTCCCCTCTCTGTCCCTCCAATGAGTGCTGGAGTGACAGAGAGGGGGGAACTTAATGACAGTGACCGCTCTCAGCAGGGAGGAGACCATGAACGGAGAGATCAGTGGTCACATGATTGCTCAGTTCCCGATATACAGAGCCGGCATGTGACAGTTGCAGTGTCCCACACCGGCACTGAGTATTGGGAAGAGTGCATGTTATGGTCCCAAAACGTCTCCTATAGGCCTCATGCACACTACGTACAAAAACAACGTTGAGTTCAGGTGCATTTGGCGCTCATTTCTAAATGCACCTAGACTAATTTAATGCTTATTTATGACTGAATGCACACCTAGGCGTCCAGCAGTGTCTAGGTGCCTTCAGTCCAGATCAGTTTACCCAAAATAGAAATTCATGCGTTCCGGGTCCAACTAGCCCAGTTTTATGTGGCTAAACGCATGTAAATGCGACTAAACCCAGCACAGAAAAAAGTGATCTGGGAAACAAAGTTGTTATACGTACCAGATAACTTCTGTTGTGCTTAACCACAGCCTGCTAGTGTGCATGAGGCCTTAAGTGCATCTAACCCAGAGAACAAACATCTAATATAATGCAGCTCACCAGTCCTTAGATGTGGTGGTTGGAGGCTGCATTAGTTTTCTTTCCTTTGTTTTCACCTGGTGATCCTGCCAGTAACACACTCCCAGCCTTAGGATGAGAACACTCACCCACTGTACTGTGTCTATGAAGGAGTGGCGTTGTCACTCCAGGACAAGACGTTCGGTAAAACATAAATTCATTGAAACAGAGCGTGCACTCCACTGTACTTACATTTCACTGTGTAAGCAATATGCACTATTTCTTTCTTATCTCAATAAGCTCTAATGTCCTGATTAGTGATGCACCGATACCGGTTTTTCAGTATCAGGTACAAAGTACCGATATTTATATTTCAGTACTCACCGATACTGAGTACTAGCATGGAGCCAGCTTCCAGCGCAATCAGAAAGCCAGGAGGTGTGTGTCATTACCTGCATCCGGCTTGTTGATTGACCGGGAAGCTCCATGCTTTTTGCCTGGCTTGATGCTATTTGGCTGGGAAGTTGGCTTCCCAGCCAAATCAGCATGGAGCCAGTTTCCTGGCCAATCAAGAAGCCGGGATATTACCCACCGCCCAGCTTCCTGATTGGCCGTGTTGCCTCGTGGCACTGCCAGTCACAGGAAGTCTTCCTGACCGGAAGTTCAGGTATCAGGGAAGGTATCGGAGCATTTGGGAGAGTAAGAGTACTCTCTCAAATACTCGGTATCTGCACTAATACTAGTATGGGTATAGGTGCATCCCTAGGGCTGATGCATTTTTTTTACCCCATATAATGCAACTTTGAATTATAGGATCCATTTTTGGATTAGCTCGGATAGCTTTTTTTTATATAGAACGCATACATTTTGTAAAAATACTACAACTATAGCTATTTCCTTACCCTTAAAAGCATAAGGTGACCTCCTTTAGACTTTATACCAGGACACTCTCTGCATTGTTTTCCTTAATCACCTGGTGATCATGCCAATAACACCCTTCCTGTCCTAGGGTGACATCGCTTATCCACTTTGCTGTATCTCTGTAGGTGTTTTGCAGTTCACATAGAGAACTGCAAACAATAAAAACAGAGAGCACAGAAAGTTATCGGAATTTCTGGTAGATCAACAGGTATTTTCTTTCTTGCAATTATCAAACAGCTAGAACCAAACACTTTAAAATGGCATATGTAGGGAGTAAATAAGAGAAGTCCATTGTTGGTGTATATACGTATACTTTGGCATTTGCTCCATGCATGTTTTTATTGAGTAACTCCATAAATGCAGATTCCAAAATATCAAAGTGGTTCTAAAGCCTCCGGTTTTTTTGCCTATATCTACTGCTATCAAGCAGTAGATATAGGCAGAAAGTTAAAAAAAACAAAAAACGCCATAACAGCACTTTACACTTACCATGTTTCAGCTGTGCGCACCCGTGCGAGAAAACGAAACTGCTCCAGCGGCCGCAAAGCATCTTGGGGCAGGCGCGTGCGCAGTTTGGATTCTCAGCCGGGAGACGAGCAGAGACGCAAGGTAAGTCTATGGATGCGTGCACCCGCATGCAGACACCGTTGGATCAGAAGTGCCTGCAAGCAGAGAGGAGTCAGCGCTGGATCAGAGAGACGCCGCACCGCTGGAGGGACAGATGAAAACACCAGGAAAGAAGAAGAAGATCGGATTAAGAGACATCATTTAAGGTAAGTGCTGACATTAACATTGGGGGGAGGGAAAAAAAATTATCCTTTAATGTCACTTTAAATTTGCTATTGACTAGTAAAATGCCTGGAATTCTCCTTGAATTGTTCTGAGTGACATGGCTGAGTGACATATCTGGAGCTACACGGGAAGAGCTGGGTGTACGATGGCAGCTGTACAAATGACACTCCTAAATCCCGGATACATGAAATTTCTCAGGGAATATCGCCTTTCCATACTGACGCGGAGTAATATGTGTTTCCTCCTAAATGAAAACCACATGTAAAGCATAACAACAGACCGGGAGAAAGATATTGATTTTCTCGATCTGGTTACCCCAGTCTGTTTAGGCTGTACAGCTTATGTTTACTTTGCTCTTTTAACCCCAAAGGGTATGAAAAATGAGCATGACCGTTCATACGATGTGCAGAGTAAACTAATGGATGGATGAAGTCTACAGGGATAGGAAGTGTGGCAAGGCGAGAATCCACCCAGGCAAAAAGTAATAAAGATTTGTGTAAAAAAGACCTGACCACCACAGAGGCGTCCCGAGGCGGGTGAAACCCGGTGCGGGTATCGGGTGACACCCCGCCGTGATGTCATCGCACACGAGCATGATGTCACGTGCTGTATCGCTGTTACCTGTTGGCGGCCATCTAGATGATGGACGCCAGCAGAGAGGAGGGGACTTTCACCCGTTGAGATAGGGTATGCCGCCGGGTCCCCTCCTCTCTCGAGCAACTGTCGGGCTCTTGGACCATGACTGAGTGCTGACTTTTCAGATGGGGCGACACCAAAAGGACTGTCAGTCGTTTTGGTGTCAGCCCCTCCGATGGTATCACCCATGTGCGGGCCGCACACCCCTTGTGACGCCACTGGGCCACCAGACCATTCATTTCAACAAAAATCTTCCCATAAGATCATATAATAAGCATATCAGGTAGGAGCTGGGCCAGCACACAGAGTAATTAGACACTCCCAGAAGACAAGGGCTATGATGTGCAAGGAGGGAGGGAGCTTTGCTAGATAACTGAGTAGTCCATTTTCTAGTAAGTTTAAAGGCACATTGCAAGGGACTACAAATTAATTAATGGAAAGGAAAAAAACACTGCAACTAAGATTTTTCTGTGCCTTTACCTGCAATGTCTTCAGTTGGTAACAGGGTCTCTTAAGTGGACCACACATTGCTCACTCGGACAAAATTAGAGCTGTGTGTGGCCCTGTCCCCACCACTCCATTCAACAAAAGGCCATTTTTCAGTTAGCTTTTGTCGAAGGAGCAGGTCTGAAATTGCCAGACGCACAGTGACTACAGGCAATCAGCTGGCTGTCAGAATACAAAAGCCCGGTGGGGAAGAATCCTTCATCTACGCCATTGTAAGCCCTCACGGGCAGGGCCCTCCTTACCATCTTGTCTTGAATTGTATTGTAATGTCTTCCTTATATTGTAAAATGCTGCGCAAACTGTTGACGCTATATAAATCCTGTATAATAATAATAATATTTGCTAGTGATGGTGTAAAGTTCTGCTTTCCAAATGTATCAGTGCAGCTTGCAATCTAACACAACTATTGACAGTATACTGTAGATCAGGCATGCTAATATGGACAAATATGGTTCGCTTGTCTAATCAAAGCAGCAGGCTGTGCAAGCTCAGCAATGCAACTCTACCTAATAATTTTGATTTGTGCCAACTTTACCAGGTGTTCAATGAACACCACATAGCATATGATAAGCTTGTAATGTTTACAGAGCACACAACGATGATAGGACTAGAACAAACCTGATCACAGAAATACAAACAGCCTTTATTCCTATCAGCTGGCACTGAAGAGATCAGGTATTGTAGGCTCCTGTCCTGATAAAACCGAATATAAATGATGATTATACTTTCATAGTGTGGCTTCCCAGAAGAAGGGAGTCTGTTTCTAGACCTTACCAAATCAACAACTATAGTTTTAGATTTTGCCCACCACAAGAGTGACAATGAGTGTACAAATACACTATCTGGGCCAAAAAAAAAAAGACACCACCTGGATTTAGCTAAGCAAATAGGTCAGAGCATTCCATTGGATAAGTCTAGCTTCAGCGATGTTATGTGCAAAGAGGTCAGCTGTCTACCTGAATATACCAAATGATCAGGTTTTTCCATCGATTGATTTTTTTTCCCCTGATGGCACATTGGGCATATTCCAAGATGGCAATGCCAGGATTCATCGGGCTCAGATTGTGAAAGAGTGGTTCAGGTAGCATGAGACATCATTTCACACATGGTGGCTGTGCTGGAGAAGACTTTACACTGACTCCCCCATCATCACTACAAGATCTTGGTGAAAAATTAATGCAACTCTGGATGGAAATAAATGTTGCGACATTGCATACGATTATCAAACGTTGCCACGGCCAATGCATGCCATAATCAGAGCTAAAGGTGGTCTAACGAAATATTAAAGGCTGCAACTTTTTGACTAGGCAGTGTACATTGGCTCTCTGTGTATTTTATATGACTGGTCATCATTCTGTAATATAAACCGGTCTTTCTCAGCCAGAGTGCCGTGACACCCCGGGGTGCCTTGAAATTTTTGCATAGGATCATGCCTTCCCCTGCAGGCAGGCCTCCGATATGGGGGGCTTTGATTTAAAGGAGGTCCTGATGTGAAGGGAAGATTTTGATGTGAAAGGAGAGGGCTCCTTACTAAAGGGGGACTATGATATAAAAGGGGGGGGGGATCTGATGTGAAAGGAGAGTGTTCTGATGTAGAGGGGGCCCCGAAATTCCCCCTGTTGCATGCATTGTCTCTTGGAAGGGTATCTGCATTTCAGCTGGAAGCTAGGTGGTTAATAGAACATTAGTGTGTCTCTGGGCGTGCATCCCTTGCTCTGATTACACACACACACACAGAACCGGCTTGGCAGCAGGCCGCAGCCTTTGGAATTGTCATGTTCCCACATTCGCCTAGCTCTGGCTTCTCCCTGCGTGCGCTTGGCTGACGGGCCTGAATGCAGAACATGTGGAATGAATAAGGAGTCACAGGAGCGTGAGGGGGGGAACCTGACAACGTGCTTGGGGTCCACCACACCTCCAGTCACGCTTCTGTGACTCCTACGAACCAAGAGTCATGATAAATAAGAACGAAACATGGCAACTACTGCAAAACACGGAGTGTGGGCAGCCCACAGAAAGAAAAAAAAAGACATTTTGTAACAAATAAAAAGGACGGCGTTTAATATCAAAACAAATGACTCAAAAAGGGGCAATAACATGAATAAAAAGCGTTGAGCTTTACTGCAGAAAACGCATGTAAAGGACAACTTACATGGACCATACATGTTACAAAATGAAACATATGATTGTTATTATGGAAGAAACATATCAAAAAAATTAATTGTTCTATAGGTCAATGGATAAACAATCATTTTTATACAAAAGGATTGATTGGTCCTAGTAGAAAATCAAATCGTAGTCAGTTTCTTTGCTTTTCCGAATGATTTTTTTTTTTTTGGAACATCTGGATAGATTGAAACTATGGCTGACTGTAGCTATCTATACATAGTAGGGATGCACCGGTGCCAATACCGAGTATTTGGGCAAGTACTCACACTCGCCCAAATGCTCCGATAGCGGAACTTCTGGTCCGAGGGAGATTTCCTCCGACTGGCAGTGCCACGAGGGAACATGGAGTCGGCTTCCCAGCTAATCAGGAAGCCGGGCAGTGGGTAATATATTGGGGATATATTAGGCAGCAAGTGAACATTTTGCCCCTGAAGTTGATGTGTTGGAAGCAGAAAAAAGCATAAGGATTTGAGCGACTTTGAAAAGGGCCAAAATTGTGATGGCTGGTCAGAACAATTCCAAAACTGCAGCTCTTGTGGGATGTTCCCGGCCTGCAGTGGTCAGGACCTACCAACAGTGGTCCAAGTAACTGCAGGTCTAGTCACTTTTTGGGTATTCAGGTCACTTCCTGCTTCTGTGATTGACTGACTGATTTTCCAGGAAGTCTGCATTAAGATACAAGTATCATTTTTGGCATCTCTTGCAATTGGAATTTCATTTTTGGTGAGATACACCAAAACTGCATTAAAAATGCCAGCTTTTTAGCCATTGTGATGCGATGCGTTTTACCACGTTTTTGATGCGTTGTTTTTTTTCCCCTCAAAATGCAAATCAGAACATATGTCACTTCCTTCTTCCTGTCAGAGCACTTTCCTCCTTCATTTTCTAGCTCAGACATGCTTCTTTGTTTGCAGGCATGGTGTTAATAATCTTTTTGAACCATGTTCATAGTGTAGAAAGCAGGATTAAAAGGAGAACTATGGGGTTAAGGCTTTTCCCCATAGTTCTCCTTAGGGTAACGGGAGGACACAAACTAGCGTCCTCC